GTTGTTGAAAGCCCTTCCTCCCTTCTCTGTCACGGTCAGATTCCCAGTGGTCAAACTCCGCAGATGCCCCTGAAATCCTGGTGAAGCCGGGCCCAAGTTGGGGCTCCTAAGAAGTGACCCACAATGTTGGGAAGCTTGCTGGCCACACTGGCAGTTTTTCCCACCAGAGGAACTAAGGCCAAGGGGAGGGGTGGCGCAGACAGTAGCTGTTCCCTTTATTTTTCTGATACGGTCTGTCTTGGTCTCCACAGTGCAGGAGGGTGCTTCAGCCTCCCCCTTGTGTTCCAGAATTCTCTCAGTGGTCTTGTCCTTGTATAGTTGTTCTTGTGACAGGGAGCAAAGTCAGGAATGACCTAGGTCACCATTTGGTGATGTCACCTGTCACCATCCTATTTCATTGGTTAGGTCTGGAAATGCATTTTGGGTATCTCAAACACTTCATCTTGTTTTGCAAGGAGACATACCTGGCGGCCGCCATCACAGTCTAAGATCAGATACTTTCCTGCTAGGTGTGTTAGTAGTAGTTTCGAGCTAAGCCTGTGCTCCCAGTACTGTAAACTGGCTTGTTGATTTTTTTTTTTTTTTTTTTTAGTTTTATTTACTTTTGAGAGAGAGAGAGAGAATGACAGCACATGAGAGAGGGGAGGGTTGGAGGGAGAAGCAGACTCCCTGCTGAGCAGGGAGCCCGATGTGGGACTCGATCCTGGCACACCAGGATCATGACCTGAGCCGAAGGCAGTCGCTTAACCAACTGAGCCACCCAGGCGCCCTGGCTTGTTGATTTCTTTTATCTTGTCTAAACTCCTTTCAGAAAGGAGGAAATTGAGATGTAGAAATGCAGTATTTTGCTAAATTGTCACACCTGCAAATTCTGTAGCTTGACTTCATTCACTTGCAATTTTTTGTTATGCCTTGATCCCCTCTGCCTGCTACGTGGGAGAGAAATTTCTCCATCTACCCCTTCTGGTGGTTTGGGGCTTGGGGCACCTGGTGACACCCGGGGAGAGATGTAGTCTTTGTGGGAAATCGTGAGAGGGCCCTGGTTGTGTCGCATTAAAAAGGATGTCTTTTACCAGTTCTTCTGGGTGTCTAAAAACATACCCACTCGAAATTCAAGTTAGAGTGTTAGTCCCTTGCCGCTGCCCATCTCTGCCGGACCTGCTGGCCACCTAGAAGCAAGTGGGAGTGGGCATGGCTGGCTGGTTTCAGAGGTGAAGACAATCTGCGGTGCATTTTGATCTGTAATTGAGGGACAATCATTCGAGGCTTTTAGGGGAGAGCTAAGAGAAATGTAGTTGTGCCTGGACAAAACGTAATCATGAACATCCAGCCGCTGCCGTCACCCTCTAGCAGTGTGGCGAGATGGCGGTGGGACCTGGGAACGGAGTGGCGCTCAGCAGCGGGGGAGCAGAGTCCCCGCGAGAAGGCCGCGCAGGGGTACGCACTGCTTCCGGGCTGTGCTCGCGGGGAGGGCACTGAGGACATGCAGTCCTCGATTTGTTTGGGGAGCTGAGGTCACAAGCAGACAAACCCTGTTCTGAATGGGGGATTATGGCCTTAGGATTTATAAATTCCCCAATTCCTACCCGCCAATGACGATTTTCTGCGGCACAGCGGAGACTCAGTGTCCCCTCTTCCCTGTAGCTGCTGTTTTTATAGGTTTCATTTGCCAGGAAGATTTTGGGTTTTCTGAGGCTTTTTTGGGTTGTTAACAAGCCACGGCCAGCAGAGTCCCCGTGCGGCAAGGCTGGAGTGGTGTCGTGTGGACAGCAGTGATGGCCCATCATCAATGCACTGCCGTCCTCGGGGCTTCACGTAGGACGTGACGTTCCTTCCGGTGTGTTTTGTGAGCTTGTCCTGGGCTTGTCCCGGTAGGTGTTCCGTGGGAGGCAGGGGAAGGGCGGGGCCTAGGACTTCTAGGACCCACGTCTACACTGACTGGACCTTGGATCACGTGCCCCTGTGCTGTCCCGGGAGTGTTGTGTCGAATGAGTGCACATTTCTTAAAGTGATCTGTATGCCCTACTTGAGGCTCGAACTCACGACCCCAAGATCATCAGTGTGTTTTAGTGTAGGCGTCTTGAGGACGGTCTCAGATAATGCCTCACCAGTAACAAGTGTTCTCGTGCCTTCTAAGGATGTTGGAAGTGTGTGGTATTAAGAGAGGGTGCCAGATCTGGAGTTGAAGGTCAAGAGCAACCACGTGCCGCCGCCACTCTTCAAACCGGGTAGGAATGCCCTTTTTACTCAACATCCGGACACCCCAGTGGTGTGGAACACGGGGAAATCTGAACACACTCCTCACACTAAGCATGCCCTGCCCAGAGCCCTCGGGAATAGCTAGTGGATTCCTGCTGCCCCAAAACCTGCGTAGAGATACAGAATTCAGGGAAATCCGCTACGCCTCCTCCATTCTCAAGAATGTTCCTTCTGTCACACAAGTCAGGACCCAAAGATGGGGTCCTGGGCTTTGGGCGAACCTCACAGATGAGGGCGGTGATTGCCAGTCGGTCCAAGTGCTGGGTCCAGTGAATCTGGATGATTATCTGCAAGTGTAACTTTCATTTTGCAAGTTTTAAGGTTCTTTTCCAAATTAATTAGCAGTTTTGTCCCAGAGGTGGAAGGCATAGTATTTAATTTCAGGTGTCAGTTTTATAGCTTTATATAGTCTTGTGCTCACAAAGGGTACAAGTGAACAAGAGAACAAGAAGGGTCACTTGGTAACCAGATGGCTTAGTGGCCACGTTCCAGGGGTCTGGGACATTATGCACAGAAGCAGAGGGAACAAACAGACCTTTTTCTTATCCCAATTTCCCAATTCCAAAAGATAGACTATTCCTGCTCAAGAGAATGACAGAAAAGACCGTTTTTCATACGGTCACGAAGCTGGCGTTTCACCGGTCAGTGGGAATCTGCCTGGTGTTCCCACTAGACTGGTACCATCCAGTCTTGTCACTTGCATGTCACCTATGACCGTCAGCATAGTGGCCCAAGGCAGGCTGGAGAGGAAGGGAATCTCCTTCGGGGCAAGCTGCCTGTCCTGTTCGCTGCCCCAGCGGTGGAAGGTCCCAGATGGGCTGAGGCAAGCTGCAAATTGGTCTTCTGTGGTCATACGGACGCTCCCAGACACAGGACGGTGTGACTGGGACCTGCTTCCGGTGGATGGTCCTCTTGTAAAAGGGACGTAAATGGCAGTGCCCACCAAGGCTAGTTAATGGTTACTGTTGGTTGGTGGTGTTTGTTACTCTGAATGGAGCACTGTGGATTTTCTCCCCTCCCTTTCGGGGGACGAGGGGTGGGTGATAATCACTGTCCTCACGGCTATCAATGCCTGGCTTATCCCTGAAGTTGGCGGAAAACCGTAAACCACCCTTCATAGATCGCAGATCATCCTGAGCTGCAGCTCTGCAGGCTGACGTGGGTGTGGAGTCCGGCAGGTGCAGTAAAAGGCATCAAGACGATCCTCCTGCCAGGTCAGTAAGGGCCAGGGGCCTGAGGTGTGCATGTGCCGCCAGGGGCCCCAGCTGAGCATTTGTAGAGGTTGCTCCCTGGCTGTCCCATCCCTCTCCTGTTCCTTAGACCCTCGGTCCTCAGCTTTGTCAGCTCTGTCAGCGCTGAGAACGGGAAAGAAACCTGCTGGGCTGCAGGGGCAGCGGGGGGGGGGGGGGGGTGCGGGGGAAATGTTCCTGCTTGATCTTGCAGAAAGGAATGTGCCAAGCAATGGTGTGGCAGCTGGAAAAAGCACTTTATTTTTTAAAAAATGACAATAGAAAAGTATCTTTACACAGTTTATGAAAGTATAGTAGACTGTGTGGCAGTGCGGTTTTCCTTAGAAACAAGAGTCCAGAAGTCTCTGCAGGGGCCAGGGAGCGCGGCAGACGGCGGCTGGGTGTGAACGGAGCAACCCCCACCCACCCTGCTGGACGTGCCCCTCCCTCAACACTGGTTCTCCTTGTCCCTTTTTGTAATGACCTTTAAAAGCTTCTTTATATCTTCATTTCTGATGGAAAATAATCCGCTCCCACCCCAGAACCACCATATAATCACTGAAACACTGAAGTCTTCAGCACAATGTGAGACTAAGCAAGCTAGTATCCTGGTCAGCTCTGTCAGCCGCCGAAAATTCTTAGGTCAATCCATTTTTACACATGGCTCTTCTACCACAAGGGGGAGACACTGAGCTGCCGGACTCCGGGGAGGGGTCCGCTTCTGTCACCCGACTTGGGTTTTGAAGCAAGCTGAGCAGCGTCCACTGCAATCAATCACCCATGGGCCACGCCCTCTCTCCTCGGGCCGGGGGGATGTCTTAAGGGCCTCGTCTGGCAGGGGGATGTCCTAGTGCAGTCCTCCCACTCGGGAGACAGGAGCTGCCTGTAGCAGCCAGCTCCCTTGGGACGTGGGCCTCAGTGGGTCTCACAGGGTGAGCTGGGAGCAGGAGAAACCCCAGATGAGGGCAGAACCCACCTCGGGCACACAGTGTGCACGGGCCCCTCGGGAGTTTCACCCTGGTCAGGAACGTGGGCCCACGCAAGGCTGCTTTGTCTAGCTGTCAGCGTGCCCCCCACGGTAGCAGCTCCTGGGGGCTTCTGTCCCGCAGGAGCGTCCCACTAGAACGGGGCGGGGGGGCATGCACCTAGTAGGGCTGCAGTGTGCCGTTCTGTTCCTGCCTTACCCTGCACTCAGGCCAGGCAGGCGGACGCCTATACATTCACAATACGATTCTGGAAATCCTGTAATATTTAAAAACATGCCTCAAACATGCAGCTTGGAGAAAAAAAAATCTATTTTTAATTACAAGCATTCAAAAGTCAAGCACAAAAATTGTGATCCAACCCAGTGTAAGATCATCTATCCTCTCATACTTAAAATGTTTGGTATAAAAATACTCACTCTCTTGGTTTTATTGTTGACATCTTTTATGTTTCGTTTGAAAATATCTCCAAACCGTACAGAAATGTCAGACCATGCGTTCACAAATAACACACTATTTCTTAAAATTATACAGTGTAAAAGAGTAAAACATTTTTATTATATTTGTTTCTTCGAGAAAAACAGATGTGTGATAGAGGCTGTGGCAAAGTCTTGAAGGGACCAAAACTGGGCAAGGTGTTTTCAAGCCTGAAACAGAAAGAACACGGGTGAGGGGCGAGCTCACCTTCCCCCAGGCTGGGGGGGGGGCTTTCTGACAAGCGCGCGTGTGTACGTGCACAGAACATGACCCCCCACCAGAGTAGCAACATTCTCCCCATAGACACAGGGGCAGGACCTACTTCTCTCTCACCAGAAACTTTTAAAGACCTCCTCCTCCTGCACTTGCACTGTATTTTGCTTTGTGGCAAAAAAAAAAAAAAAAAGCCTTCGAATCATCCCTGAGACTTTGCTACCTGCAGAGCCCCAGCGCGGCCCCACGGTCTTCCCTTCTGTAAAGCCGCGCGGTGAAACCTCTACCGTTGTTCTGTCCCTGTGTTCCTGCCATCCTACCAACACGTCAGACTCCAATCTGTGGTGGTAGAAAAGGTCTAGGCCGAAGGAACTCCACAGATACTAGAATTTTGTACAGGGAAATGCTTATTTGGGTGTGGGAGGAAGCTATAAAGAAAACAGCATTATTACTAACACCCCATCAAACCATCCTAAGTTAGACTTCTTTGGGAGGATGTGTCTTTGGCAGTAACTCCTGGAGAAACCTCCCACGAACACTCGCAAACAGCACGAACTGGACGATTTTGGTAAATCCTGTCTATGCCAGGCCCGCACTGAGCCGGGGCACCCACGCTGTGACCCAGAATATCTTGGCACAGCCTGTTTGCAGGTGATGGCAGAAATAAAGGGCCAGTCAGAAGACCCGACATCATGACCACACAGCTGCGGTTCACGGAACGATCTCCCCGGGGAGGGACTGGGGCGCCGCTTTCGAGGGCAGGGATCTGGACACGCAGAGCCTCACCTGTCACCTTCCAGGAACGCTTAGCCTCCCTCGAGCTTGTTGCCACTGTCTGGCTAGTGCTAGTCCATCGGTTTATGCTTTTCACGGGGAGGCCCAGCTAGAGAGGCCCGGGGCTGGAGATGCTCCCTGATCGAGCTCTGGGAGGCCTGCAGTGCCTGCCCCGCCACCTCCCACCGCCGCCTGACTTTCTCAGCAGAGCTCTCTGACAGGCCAGGAATGCAGGAGGAGAGAAACGCCTTCTGGAAGTCCCACTTTCCGTTTTGCCTCCCCCCACCGCCGGAGCCCAGCACAGGAGGGGCATCGCCGGTCACTCGGCAGGTGCTCGGTGAGGGAGAAACCGGAGCGGGCCGGGCCGAGGCACACCCCGTCTTGGCCACATGTCACAGGACCCGTGACGCTTCGCGAGCAGGGCCAGGAGAAGGGCCCGCTCTCGAAAGCATCTTGTTGCCGCCCCCTGACCTGTACCCAGCGGGGACACCGGGTGTGTGTGGCCTGGAGCGGCCCTGGGTGGGTGGCAGGGGCCTCGGCTCCAGGCATTATCTCTGGGGCTGCAGCAGCTGACCTTCCCAATGAACCCGGGACCTGACGGGCCCTCGAACTGCCGAAGGAGCCTCCTCTCCAGAGCGGGAAGAGGCAGCGGCCGCAGAGAGGGAACCCTGCTTAGACGGAGTGGATACGGGACGCTGCAACGACAGTCCCACGTCATCCCAAACCTGACCAGGGGCCAGCAGCCCAATCTGAGGGCTGCTTCCAGGAACCGGTTTCTGAGGAACAGCAGTCCCCCTACGGCTGTTCCTACTTTGGAACAATTCACAGGGGACGGCGCTCGGCCGCCCTCAGACTCTGGGAGCCTCAAGGGGCCCGCGCGCTGCCGAAGGCCTCCTACCGAGGCTGGGCTCGGACGGCAGCCCCAGCTCCGCATGCAGACGCGGCCTCGCACCAGACGCTGAAAGCAGAGCTGCCACACGGCCAGGCCAAGGCACACCCGCGGTCGCCTCCAGCCCTGGGCAGGCGCCTGGCTGGGGGGGCTTTCTCCTCTGGACAGCTCAACGACCATCTCTGGGCAAGCACACGTTGCTACTCCTGGCCTTTCTGGTTCCACAGCCAGTTCCCGGACAACTGTCCCCATGCCTGTCAGCTTGGCCCTGGACACTTCTGCCATGACCGCAAAGGCACCACGTCTAAACCCACACTCGCCACCTTAGCTTCCTCACACGGCTCCCGCCCCCGCCCCGCCCTCTCGGCTGTCACTTCCCCACACCGCCGTGGCCATCCTGGGCTCGCCCCTCCCGGTACACATTTCTGACCGGACCCTTCATTCTGCTGCGGGCAGCCAGGTGACAAAGATTCTGAAAACACCTCCCCCTGCCTCCCCAAGACCCAAACCCCTAACACATCCCCCCAGGCTCTCAAAAGCCTGGTCATAATCCACTCTGGACAAGAACACGTGGCACAGACCTCCCTCCTGGTCTCACCAACTCTGTTCGCTCTGAGAACTCAGTGTGAGCGCTTCCCCAGCCCTTCGGGCAGCCCCCCCGCGCCCCCAGCAGGGCTTTCTCGTTGGAGCTAACTAGAGTCCTCACTGTCCAGGCCATCTGTTTCGCTTCCTCACGGATTAGCACGGATTCTTTTCCTCCCTAAGACTACGTCCTCCTCCCTCCACCCCTGACATAGTCACTTGCACGTAGAACCTCAGACCCCCCTATGCAGGCCAGTAAAGGCAATGGGAACGACGGACAGTTAATGGCACGTGGCACTGAAACGTGGCTCCTGAGTCTGGATAACGCGCCCGGCTGAGCACCCGGAGCCTGTGTCTGGGGCGGCTCTGGCCCTGATTGGGGGGGGGGGAGGCGGGGGCCTCCAACTGCCCCTGGGCTCTCAGCAGCCCACCCTGGCCTCCCGGCAGCCCACCCTGGCCTCCCAGCAGCCCACCCTGGCCTCCCAGGGCTCTGCCCCCTTCTTCCTGCACTCTTGGGCAAGAAGCAGGGTGCACGGGGCTGGCTCGTTCCGGCTGATGAGGAAGGCTTTGGAGGGAAGAGAGAAGGGTGGGATGAGAGCTGATAGTTTCCCGAGCTTTTCCCCAACTGTGCTGCGGAGATGTAATTCTCACATGGGAAAAGAATGCGTCCCCACTGCCATAGATGTTCCCAGACTGAACAGAAGGTCAGAATGTGGCTATTTCAGTCCCTGTAAACAAGGAAGGGGTTTAACTAAGAACGGAGTTCAAACCTTGGAATGTATTAACAAGGACATTTTAAACAGAATACAGAGACATCCGGGAACACGGAGCCCCGTGGAGGGATGGGGGCGGGGTGGGAGAGGGTCAGGCTCTGTTTGCCGAGCAGCCTCTGCTCACAGCCTTTCCCGAAGGGCGGTCACTGGAGAGACAGGGCAGGAAAACAGACGGAACAAAGCTCGCCGGAGGCAGGTCGCAACCGTCCCGTATAAGACCATGGAGAATGTCTGCTGCTGTCTGAAAAAATATTCTACAATTCTTAAACATTTCATGTCCGTTGTCCTTGATCAAAAGATCAGCTAGGTGATGTTTTAAAAGGTTCACAGGCTAGAGACTCCAGGAGAACAGTCTCCTGTAGTTGGAAACGCCCCCCCACCCCGCATTCTAAACATACATCCCGACCTGCCCCCACATGCACGCACCCCTCGGCCCCAGGAACTCGCGCCGCACACCCAGCAGGCCACCTCCGTGCGTGGGACCCCGCTCCCATGCCTTGCCGGAGAGGGCTCAGCCTCCTGCGGCGCAGGCGGAGCTGTGCTGGCCGGCAGCGGGCTACCTCCAGACCTGCTCTTGTAACCCACGGCTGGCCCCGGAACTGGTGAGCCCCATGCTGAACATGGCTAGTGCCAAGGCGCCCTCCAGCTCGTCTGGTCCGTGCTGGCCGGCCGCCCCGAGTCCCAGGGCTACCCCCACCCCTTTTCTGCTCCTTCCATGGTCTAAATGAAGTCACCGCGTGCCCCAGCCGCTGTGCTTCCTGACCGGGCTCATCTGCATTTGCCTGGAATTACGGATGTTTGGGTTCGTTTAGTGCATTAAAAAAAAAAAAATTATTTTAACCTGCTTCCAAAAAATTACATGGGTAGCTTTTAATTGGTCTTTAAAGTGTGCCAGAGGAGGGGGAGGAAAAAAACCAACAAAATCTTGTTCTTTAAAAAGGTTTTACTGGGGGGCCTCTGGGTGGCTCAGTCGGTGAAGCCTCAGACTCTTGACTTTGGCTCCGGTCATGATCTCAAGGTTGTGAGATCGAGCCCCAGGTTGGACTCCGTGCTCAGCATGGAGTCTGCTTGAGATTCTCTCTCTCCCTGTGCCCCTCCCCCGACTCACACTCGTGCTTGCTCGCTCGCTCAAATAAAAGAAAAAAAAAAAAGGTTTTACCGGGTGACAATATTGGTAAGAATAGTGTGGGCACTGTTATTAAGAACCCTGACAAAAGAGCCACCTAATAAATTAGAAGGCTAAGGAATTGGTGGGATTAAACATTAGCTGCCCTAAACAATGTGGATAAACACTTCCCTGTTGTTAAGTTTGGTCAGTAGGAGGAAAGACCCCAAGTGCAGTCTCCTGGGGCACACACGACGTGCCTGCCTCTGGATGGGCTCTACTCTGAGAGCAAGAAATTACCTAAGTCCCAAGAATGCGGTAATGACCTCCTTGGCTAGATCTGCCTGGTTCTCTGTCCTCAGCAGGAATCTTGCCCTCGTTCTGACTCATCTTTTCTTCATCGGCCCCTTGCAGGGATGAAATTTGCCACCTTATTTGGGCCGAGACATAACCGCTGTGGGCCTGCCCTTGGTACTCCTACTGTTCTAGGCCAAGTTTTCCAGAGAGCCTGGAAGCCCCTCTGTGTGGCAGCCAGCGGCCGGTCACCTGCGGGAATGCTACATTATTGTTTTAGGCTACATTTACTACTAGAAGCTGACGGACCACCCGAAGAGATGAACAAATCACCAAAATCACCAGCCGGCAGTAAGCCCAGAGTCTGGAGAAGTCCAGTGGGAGCCCTGCCTCATTCACCTATGCCCAAGGACAACCAGTCTTCTTTCTGAAGAGGCTCAGGCAAATGTCTCGGCGTCACCGAGAGAGTGACACTGTATTCAGTACAAGTGGATGAAGTCAGAAGGAATATACATATTATCTCTAAAAGATTCTCACCGAAATGGTGAATTTCCAGAAAAGGTGTAAGGGTTTAAAAGGAGAAAGTGTCATTTATCTGTAAATTCCCGATGGCGGAATGGCTCGTTCCACAGCTGCGGCCTAAGCACGTGCAGATGGCCTCACCGACCGTTGTGTGCGGAGGGTCTGCAGACCCCCCCACCCCTTGCCCTCCCGGACGCCCTTCCCTAAGCATGCTGTGGCTGGAGGAGATCATGAAGGGCAAACCCCTGACCCCAGCGCTCCATACCAGCGCGTCTCAACCTAGAGCACCCGCCAGAATCATCTGGGGGAGGTGGTAACACCTAGACTGCTGGGCCCCATCCCCGCGGATGCTGGTATGACAGCCCCGACCACACTGGTCTCCGTCACCGCACCCTGCCCGGAACACGCTGCCTCCCCAGAGGGCCTGTCCGGCCTCTGACTGTGGGACTCACCAGCATGCTCCAGTTTGGTAGAACGGCTTGAGCACAGCAACCACCACTGAAGATTGCATTAATACCCACAAGACAGATTGCAGCCACCATCACACACCTGCAACCTGGGATGGAGAAAGAAATCACCCATTAACGGTGTGCGGTCATTTCCAACCCCAGCGCTGGTCTGCTCTTGGGGTTCCCTGGGTTCCAAAGGTCAGCCTGTTCTGTGAGCAAAGAACGGAGAGTCAATGGCAAAGGGCCCAAGGCTGCCACGGTGGAGCTGAGGACAAGTGCCCGGTGAGAATGACCTCACCAGAGGCACAGCAGCTCCCCACGGGGACCACGGGCTTCGCGCCTGGTCAGAGGGAAAGTGCCCTGGTGGTGGAGTGTGGCAGCCAGGGCTCCCTGGCACCAAGGCCAGAGGGGACGGGACTCTGGAGCCAAGTGTGCCGTGGGAGACACGGTCTTCACACGTTCACTCGAGGAGGCGTGTGTCCGTCGTGGGGGACGGGCCAGGACGAAGCTGCAGCAACAGCAGGCCGCCAGGCCAAGGAGGCAAGGCAGCCGCGCCGAGTTCTGAGGGCCGGACCCCCAGGCCTGTTCAAGAGCCCTGTCAAGGAGAGGTGCAGGACCTGAAGCCCCCCCAAGAGGAAGCGCCCCAAACCTATCCAGCTCCAGGAGCTGCCTCAGACCACAGTAACAACGCTGGTCAGCCCAAGGCCACAAAAGCAATTCTCCAGGAGGATCCTGTGCTGTCACGTTCATCAATGAGCTCAACTTTGCTCCAAGCACCTTCTGGAAAACAAAAACTAAAAGGAAACATTTGTGACTACATCCTGTTCCCAAGGGTCTGAGAATTTTGAAATATGAAGGTGCCGAGACCCAGAAGATCATAAATTTTTAATATTCTTCCGCAGGCATGACCGCCTCTGAGCCAGCTGGTTTTCATAAGAATTCCCGGAGCCAAGGAAGGACGCCTGCCTCCCGGCGCGTGGATGCCAATGGCCCTTTTCCCTGCTAACGTCTCTTGTGTGTTCAGCCCTCCTGCCTGCAGACAGACAGGCGGACTCGGGCACGCGGGGCTTCATGACCAGGAGTGTGCAGGGTACTGCTGCGAAGCCCAAGTTCCCCACAGAGGCCTCCCTGGTCTGCTGGCACGGGAAGATGCACCCCCTGGGGTTCGGCAGGGAGGCTGGGCCTGGGCTGAGACCCTCCGCTGGGGTTATGGGTGAGCCAGAAGGGAGGACTGCCCTCCTAGGACATCTCTCTTCTCAGAACTAAGGAAAAAAAGTTTTGCCCAGATTTCCACTTTAAAAACATTATAAAAGAATTAATAAATGTAATTCCAGTTTCCTAGTGAAAATTGGGTTGAGGACAGGAAAAGAAATATTCATCTTTTTTTTTTTTTTTTAGAAGATTTTATTTATTTGTCAGAGAGAGAGCGCAGGAGCAGGGGGAGCGGTAGGCGGAGGGAGAAGCAGGCTTCCCGCTGAGCGGGGAGCCCGATGCAGGGCTTGATCCCAGGACCCTGGGATCATGATCTGAGCCGAAGGCAGATGCTTAACGACTGAGCCACCCAGGCGCCCTGAAATATTCATCTTTGTACATAAAACTTATCAGCTCCCCCAACTTCTTCCCACCTCCCACGCCTCTGGGGACAGCCAGACTGGCATGGCACTTGGGGCACCTGCTGCTTAGGATGTCCCACCCATGGCCACATCCCTCCAGGCGTCTGGGCTGAAGCTCATCGGGGTGACTCAGGACCAGTGGGCAAGGAGCACGGGGACCGTGGCGCCCACCCCGGGTTCTGGGAGCACGGGGCACTGTCACCGGGCTGCTCTTTGCAGTAAGGAGAGCAGTAGCACCTGTCCGCACACCAGGGCTGCCCCCGTGGACAGGAAGCACACACAGGCCGGTCTGTCCTACAGGGACCCCCAAGACGACTCCGCAAAGAACAGAAAACACCGCAGGGAAGTCTGAATGTGTTCATTTGTAACCTTACAGCGAGCACGCAGGCCTTCCGAATGTCCCTTTCCAGCCGAGGAGAGCCGGGCGTGTGCAGCGTGGGGGTGGGGCAGGGGCTCCTGTAGGTGGCCCTCACCTGCCCCGTGAAGGCGCCGAGACCCCATGGCCGGGTCTTCATACTCGGCCACCCTCTTTTAACTTCCTCCAGGGACCGTCAGGCACTTCTCCTGGTGCATACGCTCAGGGGACGGGCAAAGGCAGGGAAATCACTGCTCGGACTGCCCGGGGTCGTCCTACCAGGTGCGGCGCATAGGTGAGCTCAGTGCCCATGTGGGGAGCAGAGGTCTGTGGTGCCTTCACTTACGGAACAGGGAGGGCACGGCAGTGGTTGGACGGAGTGTCCCCCCCCCCTTCCGCCTGCCCCCAGTCGCGGACACGGTGCAGGCGTTCAGGCCCATCCCTACAGCTCACACAGGAACCGAACAGACGCCGGGCTCGGGGACTCAGGACCAGGGCGTGTGGCTCCTCACCGGGGAAATGGGACGAGCGCCCGCAGGGAAGGATCAGCGGCCAGGGCGACACCGCGCCGGCTGCGGGGCGTTCTCTGCTCCCCTAACGCCTCACCCAGCGAAGGCCTGCTGCGCGGCAAGCTTGTTCACTTGGACTCAGCAAAGGGGAAGGCAAGAAGACCAGAGAGGTTCAATTATTCTCTAAACTTGAGTCAAGTGAGCCTGTTCTGAACAAGGAAGCCCATATGTATCTGGGGAAGCTCTGGGTCGCTGCTTGACCGTAAGCGCCAGGCTGACCCTGAGCCCCGTGCTCCCCCGTGGCACACGAAGCCCCCGCCCGCGGGAACACTCACCCTCCTCCCTCGCTCTGCTAGTTTCCCCTCTGCATGTCTCACTGCCTGACCTAGTGTGTGTCTTAGTGATTTATGATCCATCTTCCCCCTGTTAATGGAGGTCAGCTCCATGCAGGTAAGGATTTTGTTTGCTTTTCTTACCCTTGTATCCCTAGCAGCCAAAACAGTCCCTTACTTGCTGCAGACGTTCACTGATAGTGACTGTGCTAACGAACCTGAGACACAGAGACCGTGGTTAACAGGAGGGGGAGTGGCGATTCAGGGCAAACTCTGCCCTGGGTCCTGGGCACGGCGCCTCGGGGTTCCTCCTCCTTTTTTTTTTTTTTTAAAGATTTTATTTTATCTGTTTGACAGAAAGAGAGGGAACACAAGCAGGCGGAGTGGGAGAGGGAGAAGCGGGCTTCCCACTGAGCAGGGAACCCGATGCGGGGCTTGATCCCAGGACCCTGGGATCATGACCGGAGGTGAAGGCAGACGCTTAACCAACTGAGCCACCCAGGCGCCCCACCTGGGGTTCTTGTAGGGAGAAGGCAGGGGTGCCTGCAGGACCACAGCGCTGAGCTCCCAGCTCTGCCTGACATCTGGCGCCTGGGGCTCCCCGGACAATGGCTGCATCCCCAAGGCCCTCATGCTCACAGCCAGAGACAGACGAGGCTGTCCCTCCCAAAACAAAACATGAGGAACACAGAGCTTTACATTCCGGTCTTATTATCTCTTGCCGTGTCCTTCTCTCATTTGTTGATGCTGTAACTACATGTGCTTATAATTTCGGTGCTGTGGTCTTGGTCCTAGGCCAGGGAGATTTTCGGAGTTCTTAAAGAACACCCTCCCACATCCACCCCCGGTTCCTAACTCTCTCTCTCTTTGATTTAACTACATCATTGGATACCCTACAAGGAAGTCTGTGTAACTCATTCCCTCTAAAGAGTTACTAAAAACTCGCTCATGCTCTCCTGTTCTCAACGCATCTGGGAAATGGATCGTTTTCAATGATTATCATGTAATCTGGGGTTGTCCAGCCCATGGCTGGACCGTTAGCAAAACTCCAGTGATGAGCAGACAGAGCTTGTAGCCAGACTAAACACCATCAAGCAGGATGCTGAACAAATTAAAACACCAATGACACCCACCCCTCTGATGGTCTTACTTATGCCGATGACAGTAAACACATGCACACCCCCACCCCCACCCAAGGGGCTTTCCTCACAAGTCCATCCTGGAGCATCCTCAGCAGGAACTCTTTCCCTTTAAAATGTATATCCATGACTCCCACTCACTAGAACTGGAGTTCCTCAGGGGCTCAGGCCTGGTCTGCATGCACATTTTTCTATCTAGCACATAGTGGACACATAACATACGTTTACTTAAAGAATAAAGAGCTTGTTTACTTTTCTAGTCTAGTCCCTGATTTTCCAGTAGGAGGTCAAAGTGAGTAAATGAAAAACCCCTGCAGCAGGGCCTGGGCGGTTCAGGATTTGGAAGGGTGGCCCCCAGAGCTCCAGGCGTCGGGAGTGAGCGCCGGTCTGGGTCTGCGTGTAGGTCGTCATGTCTGGTACCAGCCATCACTCCTGCTCTTGTCTTCTATTCAGGAGCCATCTTCCCAGAGAGGAAGGACACCCTCACTTCCCCCCCCCGCCCCCCGGCAAACAGAGGAAGGCCACGTCACTGGCTGCACCTATCCTACATTTGGCCTTTTTGAAAGACCAGTTTTGCACTAAAATGTTTATTGTTTCATCAGAACCACTGTTCTCAAGTCTAATTTGCATTTCCCTAAGATTACGCAGCCTGGACTATTAGCTGAAGGACTTGATCCAAGAGACTAGAAGGAGCCTGAGTAACGGATCCACACTGGACCGGTCTAACCTCAGGCAGGATGGGAGACTAGAGTCCTAACCCCGAGTGCGGTGGTAATAAGTGCAATTACCCATCCTCCTTGCCTACTGCCCCTCCTCTGCTCTCTCCAGACCCCGAGGAAGGAGTCTGGCCCAAGTGTAGCTCAGAACAAACGGTGCATCCACAGGAGATGTTGCACCTGCATACGGGTCCGACAGCTTCACAAGCCATACTTCCGAAGGGGGAACCCGCTAAGCCTTCTTTGGTAGCCACTGCTGCCTCTAGGTCTCTGGTGGGAAGGTCTGCGGGGAAGGATGATCTGGAACAACTTAGGTGAGTGGATAGAAACGAAGGGCAGGATCTCATTGGCTGGAATCGTGCAGCTGCTTAACGATCATGCCTTCTCTTTGGCCTATATAAATGCTTAAAAAAAATCCTTCCTCGGGCCCTATGCCACCACCATCCTCGGCCAGCTGCAACTGCCAGATTCGGAGGTATTCTCTCATCTTACTCAAGTTTCCCACAGCATCTGCTACTGCTGACGCCAGCAGCTCACCACTGCCCTTCCGGGCTCCAGCCCTCACCGGCTCCTCCAGGCACTCTTCATCCTCCACAGGCTGCTCGTCCTCTGTGGACCCTACGGCCAGGTGAGCCTCAAGGCTGTGTCCCACTGACCTCTCTTCCGGTTTCATCAACTTCCTCAACTACCTGCTTAGGCTGAATGCCAGGTCGACCCCCAACCCATCAGGTCTTCTGCGAGCTTCAGAAATCCCAGTTACGCAGTCCTGGGTACCTGCAGGTGAACACCTAGCAGCCTCTGAGAACAGAGAGATGAGTGCACGGTCATGGGAGGCAGAGCGCATGATCGCTCAGTGCCTTCTGGAGCCGGACAACGGGGCTGCACCCGCCTTGCCCTGGTAACCGGGGCAGGGTCCCTCGTGACGAAATGACTAAGGCTTCTGTGCACAAAGAAAGAACAGAGGGCTGGGGACATGTCATTTTAAAAATTAAATATGGGCATGCGGGTAGGGCCCATGGACTTGGGAAGTCCTGGACATAATGGACCCTAGAATATACCTCAAAGCTTACAAATAGTATTTCCAGGAAGAAAAAGTCCCCCCTAAACAGCAAACTTTTATATTTCACAAAATAGTAAAATCTCTTAAATACTTCCAGTATCTACCACGGACTACTGACGTCTTTCTAAGACTACATTTAAAATGCAATTGCCATTCACAGATATTACCATCTCATGTAAGATGGGTACCTGAACACACATACAACATGATTTCAGAATAAGGGACAAATACAAGCAGCTTAAAAAAAAAATCTAATGCTGTCCTCATTTTTCCCTCATCATACACAGATTAGTGGTAATTCTAACATAATGACCACTGGCCCAAAGATCTCTGTATGTGGGTGTCACTGGTTTGGGTTCCGGACAAGAGAGTAGGGCATGGTTTCCCAAAATGTGCTCTAGGTAAAACAGCATTCTACTAAGGGTCTGTGAAAGAGAGGGCTCCCTTGTCTCAGATGAGTTTGAGGAATCCTGCATCCCTGAGTGCCCTCATTTTACAGATTCACGATGCTCATGTTATAAGAAAGGTTCTAAGAATCTTTTGGTAAAAATCAAACAAACAAAAAAAAAAGTGTTTAACTCTGACCTTTGGCCACATCTAAGTAGTCTGCCTCCAATCGTCACCAAGGACTAGTGTTGCTCTGGCCACGCTCAGAATTAGGTCTGGCTAGGGGAAGAATAGGTACAATTCTAACTTAGTGGAGTAGATGTCTTAAAGCAGAGAAATGTGATCCGTCAACTTACTCATTACCCCACCAGCAGAGCAAGAATCCTGACCAGCTGGGGCGTGGGTCTGCTGCCCACCACCATCCTCCTGTGTGGTGAGGCCCTTCCTCCAGAACAAAGATGCCTGCCTTCCGACCTAGGCCTGGAACTCTCTATAAGTGCTGGCCTCTTATGGTGGTAAAGACTTCAGCAAGTGAAGTCCACGCTCAGCAGTCACCCTGGAAATTGAAAGGAAGGTGACATGACCCACCAAGCGAGACTTCGGGTCAATAGGGCAACTTGCCTGTGGAAAATAAATCCCAGAACTCTTTGAAAAGCCTATTCAGTGCTCTCCTTCCTCCTCACTAGGAGGGCCTTGACCTCTGTGACTCCCCACTGAAGCTGAGCCTAAATCAACCGGAGGCCAGTTCTTCCCCGCATATGTCCTTCAAAAGATCAGCGTCGGGTATAGTTATGTACATAATTCTGCATGATCTCTTTAGCACTTCTAAATGGATGAAGGTCTGGTCCCTCCCTACTCTCATTTTTCTTCCTGTCTTGTGAAAGAATGATATAAACCAAGAGAAACCGAAGACTGTAGAATTGTATCATCTCAGAGACCTTCCTTGAGGGCAGACCCCCCCCCAAATTCACACACCCTAACAGAATTCAGAGTAACAGTGCTTTGTATTTAACAGAGATCCAGTCAAGATACCAAACGAAAGGCGGCGCTTGGAATTTTATACAAATTATACATTTATAGAAAAAAAATTGACTTGGTAGTTCCCTGAAGCAGGGTTAGGTGCAAAGATGCCCATTTAGCATATTGTTTCCTTCGAGACAAGACACTGTACTGGGAACAACACACTGTCTGCCTTCAGCTGAAAGAAGAGAGCTTGGCCCAAGCTCTAACGCGCACGCACGCACAGAAGTCAGTTTGATAAACAGCCAAGGGTCCCACGAGCCCGCGCTGCGGGCAACAGAGGCCAGTGGCCAAGGGACGCGGGCAGCAGGTGAACTGCCGCTGCGTCATCCGGTGTCCTGGCCCCCAACACGGACCGGAAGCAGCGCTGGCTGCTGATTTAGGACGGCGAAGACCGGGATGAGACGCAGACAGGACAACATCCCTCGCTTCTCCCTCAACCCCAGGGGGACGTCCCGGCAGCGCCGCAAGGCCGCAGAGGAGCCCCGCCGGTGGTCTGAGGAGGACGGGCGACCGCAGGTAACAGGTAGTGTGGAAGGCGTGGGTGCTGTGCGTCCCACGGCCCGGACGTCGGCTCTGCACGGGGCTCGCAGCGGCCGCGCAAGCCAAGTACTTACATAGTATTCAGCAGAACTGACGGGACTTCCAGCCCTGAGAAGTAGCCTCGGAGGGGGGGAGCCAGCGCATCTGGAAAGACACGTGGGGAGAAGACTGTGAAGCAGGGCTCCCACTGGACAGTCTCGTTCCCCCACAGAGCATCCCTGTTCCACGACGGAGCCCACTAACACTTGCCAGGGGGCGCCTCTCCCCCGGGGGCCGCAGGGGATCAGAACAGCACCCCGAGGGGTCGTCCACGTCCCCTCAGCGAACATGGGCCAGGCTCTCAGCAGAGTGCCCGTCTCAGGGAGCATGCCGGGCCCAGCAGCTCCCCCGCTCCCACCCTCCTTGCCACAGTGAACAGCCCGCCGCGGCTGGGCCAGACCTGGCCTGAGTCTGGGCCAGTGAGTCCCTTTCGCTGCACTCGCTCAGCAGAGCCGCGCCGAAGGCACAGGCTGCCTCCTGGTTTGCTAAGCAGGGTGTGGAAACACGTAACCGCTTCGGTGAGGGAGGGACGGGTTCATGACCCACCCCTGCCAGTAAGCCGGCCTGGACATCTTTTGAGATTCTGCTCCTATTCTTTTAGAAAAGTGGTTCTGGCTTCTCAGCCCCTGTGGGGTATCTGGTACCCCAAGCCCTCCGCTCACTCTGCTGAGGAGGACCCATCTTTTCCATGAAGTTTCTGAAGTGGAAGGCCAGCAACAAAACAAATGGACTGAGTGATGCTTTGTCCACTTGGCAGAATGTTCCCGGTCCTGTGCTGAGGAAAATGTGAAGAGGCAAACAAAAGGGCAAGAGCACTTTGGCTTTAACAAATGTTCATCTGTCAGCAACGACAGTTTTGCCCTGCAGCCTTTGGCCAGAAGCAAGAAATACCCATTTACCGCTGCTCCCGTTTCCCGGGAGGTGGCATGGCCTCCCCGCAACACAGGCGGCTGGGAGAGGGAGAGCAATTACATCAAAGGGGGGAGATGCTCAGGAGGGCCGGATGGCTCTGTGGAGAGTGGCATCCTCTCCAGTGTGGCAGGAGGAGAAAGATGGATCTTCGACCTGGCCCAAAACGTTTCTAGAGTAGAATGCAATGCTGGAGGGAATTTTACCCTGGCAAACAGACTTCGATGGTTTAACAAAAGATTTTGCTGGAGAATCCCCTTTTCACATGGCATCTTACTCAGATCTCCAAAGCATAAACAGATGAAGCAGCATCCTGGCAGCGGTGGAGGTGCAGGGGGCCTGGAACCTGCAAGGAAACTCCGCAGAACCTGGGGGCTGCTGGGGAATTGATGAAGACTTCCTGCCTCTTCTAACCTGCTTTTACAGGTGGGGAAATCCATTGAGAGCTGGGTATTCTGAGTGACATCCCACGGGCACAGAACCCAGCGGGGTCAGGATCCAGGGCACAGGCTCCACTAGCTCTCATTGACTGGTCTAGGAGTGGGCCCCCAGACAAAGCTCACACAGGATGCCCAGCCTTTGGTCTTGGTCCACATGCAGAAGTCCTCAGCATTTCCTTCTACCCCATGGGCCTCCCCTTCCTCTCTGGCTCTCAATGCAGGGTGACAGGCCACACTGGGGGACTCGATCCCAACTTGAGGCCTCACCTACTCGGGAAATGAAGACTTAAAAGGACCAGAGATGTGTTTTGAGCTTCTCCCCATACCAGGAATCCAGGTCAGGGAACCCCTTGGGCCAGCTGTGCATGAGAGATCCTTTGGGGCATCACACTGGATATTCTTAGAAATCAGATCACCAGCTCGAAGGGGTCCCCCTCATTGTGAGAGGGCAAAGCTGTATTCCTTGGGAGCCACCAGCAGGTACTGAAGTTCATTTAAGGCAGGGCCAGAGTCGTTTTCAACACTCAATAACAATTAAGGGGATGAGGGACCAGAAATTCTTTGCAAGCGGGTAGGCTAAAATATGTCACTTTGTGAATTTAGGAGTATATGCAGGATAAAGAAGAAATAAAGAAGGGAAGTGTGGGAGGATGGGAAGGAAAAGGGAGGGAGGAGTACAGGGGTGCAGGGGGAGGGGGCAAAAGGGAGGAGAGGGTGAGACAAAGACAAAAATTTCATACCTACCCATGGCTTATGGCTTTGTGCATCTGAATCCACTTGCTCACTAAGCAAAGGGCAGAGTTGGAGCTGCCTTCCTGAGACAGGTGGTAAAGGAGGGGACAGGGGCACAGCCCCATGGCAGGTGGGGGGCTGGGAACCTAAACACACAGCGGGAGGGGATGGGTCTGTGTGCACTGGAGTCGGAGGGAGCGTGGTGGTGGCGATTGGTGCTGCCTGGGTGTGGGGCTGGGGCGGTGAGCCCCACGAGGCCAAGACATGTTGGTGTTTCAGAGACACAGGAAGAGGGAGGTCTGACCAGGGGGTGGGGGCGCAGTGGATGGCATGATTTTTGGTGACAGTGACTGCGAGAAGGAAGCTCTTCATCTCCCACACGCCCACCCCAGCCTCAGCCAACCTCGGGTGCATGCTGGCCTCTTCCACCCACACCGTCCTCGAACCCGGAGCCCTGCAGTCAGCCTGGTCTAGAACCCCTGAGCACTCCAGGGTGCCAAGCAGGCTGACTCTGGGCTGTGGGCTCTAGGAGAAGCCGTACCCAGCTCAGCTGAGCTGAAGATGGCCCGCTGGCTGATTCTCGGGGAGGATGCGGTGGTGATGGAGTCAACAGAGGCCCCGAAATTCATCTCTCTGTGCCCCATGGCTTGGACACCACAGCCCCTGCCAACAGGGTGGCCCTTCTCACCGCATCCCCTAGGCCTCCAAGCCCGCCTCCGCTTTCAGCTCGGAGGGGTGCAGTGGCAGGCACTTGCCAGCAGAGGGCGGTGCCCCCGCCCGGCCGAGCCTGAGCTGCTCCCCACACGCGGCAGGCAGCTAGCTGGTCCAGGCGAGTGAGCAGTTGGGTGCTAACTACTGTGGTCCTCTGGGACGGGGCTGGGGGGGGACGGACCCCCACCTGGGCTGCTTGTTCTGCTGTGGTTTCTGGCTCCGGGTCACTCGTGGCCACTCCGGCCCACTGCCCAGGGGCTGCTGTAGTGCGTCAACACCGGGGAGACCTGTGCTTAGCCCGCGGACAATCCAGCAGCGCTAAGTCTGTGCCACTGGCCTTCATGTAAGACAGGATCCTGTCTGTAGAAAACTGCATGTGAGCTGGCGCGCACACACACACCCCACAACTGCACACTCACAACCCTGCCTACGATCCCAGGAGCTTCTCAAGTCCCTAGAAGAACCTCTACCGATATATGTGATCCACGGCGACACTGCTGCTCACTCTGCCAGACCGCTAAGCACACCATTGCACACACTGCAGCCTGGGGGCCCGGAAGCACCCGGAAGACGCCGGGACGCTTCTCGGCTCCAACTCAGTAATGCCGCGTCGTTACTGTCCAGTTCACTAACCAGGGGCCACGCTGTATGGGATTCCACCATCACACTTCTTCGGGAATGCTCTTCGAAAACACAGTGCCCCTGCAAAGTAACACTGAGGTCCCCCACACCTTAGCACGGATGGCACCGGCTCCTGTGACGTGTGTGAGAGCTCGGATAGGAGAGGAGAACACCCAGAAACAGAAATACCCCAGAGCAAAAATAAACTGGAATGCTAGAGAAAGTAGTAAGTATCCATAAAAGTCATTTCTATCCTCTTCCACTTACAGATGAGGAAACCAAGGCCCAGCGGAGTGAAGTACATACAGAATTCACAGTTCTGAGCATGCTGCCAAAGAGGAAGACCCTGACCGGTCTCGAGCGCGGAGCCCTCAGCCCTCTGGCAGACAATGCAGAGCAAGCGGCGAGAGACCATGGACCCGCGCTGTAACCCCCCCACCCCTCCCTTCCAGGGGCCGCCCGTCCTCACCACGCCGGCCTTCAGAAATAGCACAAGAAGTGCCTACCAGGTGCTATTTTCTCCTCCATGAAATAAAGGGATCGGTCTAGACCAGCGGTTCTCAGAGTGTGGTCCCTGGCCCACCGGCATCACCTGGGAACTTGTCAGAAATGCAGAAAGCCCAGGGAGAGAATCCCAAGTCCCTGCATGTCACAAGCCCTTTGGGAGACGATAATGCACACGTCCAAGTTCGAGAGACACTGTTCCTGTGTGAGGTTTCAGAAGTGTGGCTGGAAGCAGGCTGTCTAGAGATGCTCTGTGCTCAAGGAAGTCGGAGAGAAATGCAGTCTCTGCCCCTTCAGCGGAATCGAGAAGTTCCACCATGAAGAAACCCGTTTGACTTGATTTAAACCCTGGGTTTCCCAAGTTTATCCGCCCACAGAATCTTTTTATTATGTTCACCCGAGGTGGCTGAGAAATGCTGGTGTGGAAGAGCCCTTCCAGGTGACTTTCAGTGGATCTGGGAGGCTGAGGCATGCCAATATGGCATCCAAGTTTCTAGCTCTTAACAAAACTAATCAGAGCTGGAAGATCACCAGACCAGCTAGGTGCCCTGGACGTCTGATCTGATCTGTAAGCAGCAGTGAAGATTTTCTTACCTTTTCCGAAGCAGGTGCTGTACCTGAACACAGATTTCCCCAGCACCATCTATTCAGAGCCGGGCTCTCCTTTCTAAGGCATGGATATTCAGGTTTCTACACTGGGCCCGAGCGGGAGCGCTGACTACCCTGCTGGGGCTCTCCCAACATTGAAACAAGTGCAGCCAGCCACTCACACATTCTTTAGTTATAACCAGCCCTGGCCTGCTCACTCCAGGCCTAAGGATCCATTCTGAGCACCGAATAAAGCACGTCAGGTCCTACAGCAAACTTTGCTGAAGGCTGCCAGGCTAAGGAGAGGCTGCCAAGCCAGGAGCACACTGCGGTCCAAGAAACTCCAAACTCACCAAAGACACTAGATTGATCTGCAATACAAAAAAGATGATCATCTTTATGGGACTAATCACAGGGTTCTTTAAAATAGCACCCCTGCCCTATCTAACACAGTGTTCACCAAAACTGGAAAAACACTTTTGCTCCAGCCCAGCCCTGTGCCCCTGCAAGATCTCCCCGTCCGGATGGTGGGACGCTGCTGAGGCCTGAGCCCAGGCAGCGACATGGTCTAGACCCCTGTGAACTCCTCCTGCTAAGACC